CTTTAAGCACCAGATGAAGCAAGTATCTCAAACAAGACGCAGGCTTGTCACTCTGGCATCAACACTTTTCTTCTGTGATTTTTAACAGTCTTGCCTGGTGAAGACACCAGCTGGCTCCAAAAGCTAGTGTGATGTATTTTACACCTTTTGGTTGGTATTAATAAAGGTATTTTCTTGATGTGTATTTTTGGCGTTTGTTACAGCTACCCCTACATATGCTCTGTGTCAGAAGCAACCAAGCTGCAAGCAGAGTGGAAAGGAAAGAAAACAACACTTGAAGGTGCTTCACTCAACACTCAGGGCGAAGGGAGACATCTTGTGGTTGTACAGGCACAATCATGGTGTCCCTTGCTTAATGGATTTATACTGGAGTGAGTGACTTTGGACCATACAAGGACCAGTTATCTGCCACCAAAACACTCCAGAAGGTTCATAAACAACATCTGGGGATGCAGGAAGTCTTTAAAAAGCTGGAACGATACCTTCCAACCATCCTAATTTGGCATGGTCAACCTGAATAATCCTATGTTATCCCACCAATTCTGATATTTTTATAATGTCTCAGTTCCTTTCTTCTCTCATTTTAGCTTTTGGTCCTCATCTTAATTCCATTGCTGAAAAATGAATTCAAATTGCAAAAGTAGTTTGTATTAGAAGATCAATTCACCAGGGGAGAGAAAGGAAAGCAAAGTATAGGATCTTGTCCTTTTCATGAGGCTTAGACAAAAGCAAGCTGCTGCATCCTCTCCTTTTAAATTCTTTTTTGTTAACTTCTGTCGCCTTAACTACACTGTAATGTTCCTTGGCCACAAATGTCCCAGTTTTCATCTGTGAAATGTTGAAGAGGATCTCTGGCTTTGAAAAAAATTGTAGTTTTTGATATTAAATAGTACAACTTTCATGCTCCTAAATAGATGACCTATTTAAAAGGTCAGTTTTTTCAGAAGGCTTCTAGGAGAGGCAATTCATCTTTTTTTGCTAGAAAATGGGAATCTATCTGTTAGATCAGTTACCGTGCTTTGTCCATTTTGATCTACAGCAGTGGTTCCCAATCTGTGGTCTGTGGACCACCAGTGGTCTGGAAGAACTAAAATATGGTCCAAGGACTCACCGTTACTACACCATTGCAAGAAGAGTGACTGGCCTCACAAAACCGTCTTATAGTGCCAAGTCTTATTAAATATGGTTTTCTGTGGGCGAGCAGATGGCGATTACTGGATGGCATATATTCTATATCAGAAACTAGAGCTGATGTGGTCTATCCAATGCAATTTTCTGAATCAGTACCCCAAATAACTAAACCAAATCTAAAGTTGACCACAAACTGTAATCTTTTTGGTACTAATGTTGGAGAGTGGTCCCTAATTAAAAAAAGGTTGGGAACCACTCATCTACAGGGTGAACAGGGAACATGCATGTGAGATTCAGGCATCTGGAATGTATGGTGCAGTTTGAGCACATGCATGTTTACTTAGGTGTAAGCTTTCTTATTTCCTTTCCCTTTGGGCTTCACACAAATCTACCATTTGTCAAAATATGTGCTATTCTTTCCCATTTCTGGCCAAATAGCTTAAATTTGGATAATATTTTGACTTTAGGATTTTAGCAATTAAATTTTGTGGCAGAGTCATTTGGGTTGCTAGCTCTTGTGCCCCTATTGTCCTTCCATCAGTTCCAGGGCTCAATGGTGGATGAGATACGATGGAGCTCTGTCTTCCTGGCTCACCCTCGTCACTCTGTGGCTCCAGAGTGGGAGTTAGGGTTGGGTGGGAGTGGGGGGCTCTCAACTGATGGTGGACAATTTCTAATTTCACTAGGGATTAATCCCAGGTGGCTATGCACAGCATTGCAATCTTAGCTGAAATTTTAAAAAACCTGGTCAATCTTTAATCAAGTATGTTTTTTATTAGCCAGAGAACAAAACAAATCTCTCTGGCTATGATATGAAGTCTCCAACATTCTTTACTATGTGTATTGAATAGGCATCTGGGTCAGAAGGAGGTTGGGTCGGTATTGGACATGTACATACTTACCACGCATATGTGCAGCAGTGTCTTGTGTGGCTCACCAGTATCAGTGCACTAATCCTACAGAGAGTGCTGATGGAATAGAGTGCGTACGATGTCATCTGTACACAGATGATGTCCAACTCTGTCACTCCTTTCCACCTACTACTAAGGAGGCTGTTCAGGTCCTGAACCGGTGCTTGGCCGCTGTGACGGTCTGGATGAGGGCGAACAAATTGAAATTGAATCCAGACAAGACAGAGGTACTCCTGGTCAGTCGCAAGACCGAACAGGGTATAGGGTTACAACCTGTGTTGGATGGGGTCGCACTCCCCCTGAAGACATAGGTTCGCAGCTTGGGTGTGATCTTGGATTCGTCACTGAGCCTGGAACCCCAGGTCTCAGCGGTGACCAGGGGAGCATTTGCACAATTAAAACTAGTGCACCAGCTGCGCCCGTACCTTGGGAAGCCTGACCTGGCCACGGTAGTCCATGCTCTAGTCACATCCCGTTTAGACTACTGCAATGCTCTCTACGTGGGGTTGCCTCTGAAGACTGCTCGGAAGCTTCAAATGGTCCAATGATCGGCAGCCAGGTTGCTAACAGGAGCGGCATTCAGGGAGCATACCACTCCTCTGCTGCGCCAGCGCCACTGGCTGCCAATTTGCTACCAGGCACAATTCAAAGTGCTGGCTTTAGCCTTTAAAGCCCTAAACGGTTCTGGCCCGACCTACTTGTCCTAACGCATCTCCTCCTATGAACCAGTTAGGACATTAAGATCGTCCGGGGAGGCCCTGCTCTCGATCCCGCTGGCCTCACAAGCACGCCTGGCGGGGACGAGAGATAGGGCCTTCTCAGTGGTGGCCCCTTGGCTGTGGAATGCCCTTCATGCAGATATTAGATCAGCCCCTTCCTTGCTAGCATTCCGGAGGAAAGTAAAGACCTGGATGTTTGAACAGGCATTCAACTAAGCAGTGTGATTGATTAACTGATTATTGGAACACGGAATAATGGACGAGTTTTGGATTCTGATTTCATTGACTAGACCGGATGGATTTGTTATATTGATGTATTGATGTTTTGATGCTTATGTTAATGATGTTAATGACTTGTGATGCTTCTGTATTTTGAATGCATAATGATTTTGTATCCTGTATACCTAAACTGTTGTAAACCGCTCTGAGTTGCCCAAGGGCTGAGAAGAGCGGTATACAAATAAAGTAAATAAATAAATAAATAAATAAATAAATAAATTACCCAGCTCATATCATGGCATTTTATTGTGGTGAAGCTCTTAGATGACCTTCTGCATGGCCACTCAGTAGAGACAACTAGGTATCAACTCCTAGCCCTGTTCAGTAAGATGATGAAGCTGCTCCAGGTTTCACTCTGAATTTTAAAGGACACAACCAAAGCACTGGACCCTATCCCAATGTTAAATTCAATACTTGGAATAGCTTTTTTAAAGTTTGAACTAAGACCAAAGGTAAATTCGCTGTTTAGCTGATATCAGAGCCAACAGCTAAAACTGGCTCCAACCCCATCTTAAATCAGCTGTGTCTTTTGATTTAAAACTAATATTTTTCTCCAGATTGCCTAAATCCGGCAACTGTAGCCAGGAAACTGCTGGTAGTTCCAACTACCGAGACTTATTCAGTCAGCTGTTGAATAGTGAGTCAACACACACCGTAAGTAAATTCAGTTTGAATCAATGTCTGTTCTAGCTCAGATGAATAGGATTTACTTCCTTATCTCACAGCCTGGGGGCATCTCAATGGGATGTCAGGCTTATACAATGCATTAATACAAGGCTTATGGCTACAAACAGATTCTGTTTCCCAGCCATTCCAGTGCCTTTGGATTTATTAGTCAGAACATGGACTACCGAAGCATGTTTTCTTCTTCTTGAGTAACTGGATAGATCAGCAGCCATAGATTTTCTACAGAAATGAAGGGTAAAAGTCTGGATTGATGGGGGTTGTGATCAGCTGGGGTTGTGATCATAGGGGTTGTGTAAGCCAACAGACCTGAAGAATAATGACTTAAGGAAGCTGTTCTGGGATATTCCAGAGTTAGCCAAGAATAGCCATAAGTGGTCTCAATGTTTATTGTTAGTTGCAACTAGACCCACTTTAATAATAATAATAATAATAATAATAATAATAATACACTTTATTTATATTCTACTTTATCTCCCGAAGGGACTCAGAATGGCTTACAAAATACACATATGAGGCAAACATTCAATGCCTTTTACACACAGTGAACAACAACATACAACACAGAAAGGTAAAAGCCTTCCCCCTTTTCCCATCTCCAGCATCTGGAGGCAATGCTCAACTCCAGCCATGGGGAGATGCTCTTGTTCCATTTTTCTATGCTGAGGAGCCTGTTGTCCATAGACATCTCCAACTGTGTTGCTGGCATGTCTGCATGGGGCTTCCTTTTACCTTTCTGCCAAGGCAGTGCCTTTTTATCTACTTGCATTGCATGCTTTCAAACTGCTAGGTTGGCAGAAGCTGGGCTGACAGTCAGGAGCTCATCCCAAGCTTGTGGCTTCAAACTGCCAAGCTTCTGGTCAGCAGATTTCTGCAGCTAGCAGTTTAACCTGCTGTGCTACCATGGCCCTATGTGTTGATTGACCATTATCTATGTACATTCAACAATTGATTTATTGGGTCTTTTCTTAGTCAGAGTTAAAATAAATTAAATGACTCAATTGTCAACTGGTTAGTCAACACACCAGTCAATCATGTTGATTTAATGGATCTACTCTGGTTGGGATTCCAACCTTAATCAAATATGTTCCATATCTGCTTAGTACCACAAAATACAGAAGATATTTGAAATGAGAGAAAATGCTATTATTTCTAAGCAGTAGCCTTGCCCAAAGATACTTCTGCAGTGGCGCCAGTCTCTGCCTAAATACATTATATGTTTATATCCCAGATCACAACTGTCCAAGTGCAAGAAACAAAGGAGACTCTAGAGACATTGCATGGTAAAGAAGAAACTCTTTTTAATTGCAGGCTGCTAAGAGTTGTTACAGTTTTTCTCCCATACAACAGATTTCTCCTGCTGACACAGGGAGCATACGGTAGATACACTGGTTACACTGTATATGAGACAAGTTACACTCACGAATCTGTGCTCCCCCCTGCCCCCGGTACAGTAAAGTTTCAACAGAGACAAGTGCTTTCAATGTTTTTAATTACATGATGTTAGAACAGTTCAGAAAACCCAGCAGGTCCAAGTTCTGCTTCTTTCCCTACAGCTACAGACATCCTTGTAGAGAGAGCGATTTGGGGTTCAGCTACTAAGGGTATCTGATCAAGTGCTGCAGGACTGGCTCAATTAAGCTCTATCCTATTTTCTTTCTCTTCGCCTTATGACACACCAGTTTTTCAGTCAAATTAGATGGTTTTTTCCCCTACCTATTCCCAGCTTGCTGTGAGGTCAGTGGGCATTTCTGTACCTCTGATGAGTAACACCCTGGGTTTTAAAGGATCTCTGTGGCAAGTTATTTATTTCTTTTCTAGCCTCCTTTTCTCTGAGGTCTGGGACTGAATTTCAAAACATTAAAATAAGTACAGGTGAAATATTATGCTTGCTGTTCCCAGGGAAATATGCCTCTTTGAGTATTCTGCATAGTCCTGCTATGCTTGGTCCAAAACTGAGGTGGAAAAGAAACTTCGCAGCTGAAGTTAACAAACCATCCCAAACAGATTGAAGACTGTGGGAAGTACCTAGGAGGGGGAAAGGTCCAGTTTGATGCTAGCCACTTTTTGTGGCTGCTGGTTGGACCCTGTGACACATTAACCTAAAATACAAGGCTGTAGAAAGAATATATAGTAAAATTTGATCAGATAAAAAAGTTGTCTCCTTAAAATTGAAATGGCAGTGGTAGTGAGAATAACTTGCTCAGAACAGAACTTGGGAAAGTTACTTTTTGGACTACAACACCCAGAATCCCTGAGCCAGAACAACCAGTGTTATGGTCTAAAAATCATTTCCCCAAGCTCCGAGATGGCAAGCTCTCTGCTATGTCATCCACTATCTCTCCCACTAGAGGTTTTGTGAGAACAATGTGAAACCATCTCTTAGACTAACCTGAAAGTGTTGGTTCACCTGCAGGTGCTGGAGGAAGGAGTTTGCAGTATTTCAAATAGCACAGAGGCAAAATGCAGATTGTCAACTGCTAAAAGTAAGGAATATTCATGGTTGGTGAAATACTTGAGTTTTTATTAACTGTGAAAATCCCTGCTTTATAACTTTGTATTGATTTTAGGAATGTTGGTCAGGTTGATTTATTCTACGTCCTTTGAACGAAACTCAAAAGATGGCCATTTAGGAAAAATTCTACCCATTCTAACCTCAATACTACAAGATGAACTCATAAAGTATATCACAACTTGTTCCTTGGAGTTGATCCATTTTGAGTGCTCCTATTCAACGATCCAAGACATATTGATGATTTTACATGTCACTATTACTTGCTACAACCCCATTCAACATTCAGTTTCAGAGGACCTTTTTAGGAATCAGGGTGACTTCTGATGTACAGACACACTGAAACAAGGAACAAGATCTCTGTATGGGGTGATAAGTTTGAGCTTGATTTATGATGGTACAAATAAGTCAAAAAGTGGTCATCAAGACGGATCATGTCGCAGTTGTATGCTTTCAAGTTGCTTCCAACTTACAGTGACCTAAGTTAATCCTGTCATGGGAGTGGTAGGCTTTTTTTTTTTTTGCAAGATTTGTTTATTTGGAGAGGGGGTTGCCTTTGCCATCTTCTGAGGCTGAATATATCTTGCCTAAGGTCACTCAGTGAGTTTTCATAACCGAGAGGAAATTCAAATCAAGAAGCATAGCAGGGATAGATAATAGGTTTTTTTTAGCAGCAATCTGAAAAGCTCATCCTCAAACAAAACTGAGTTGCTTTAACCTTTAAAAGCTTTGGCTTCAATCCTCTTTCAAGGCAAGATATAAGGGCTTATGATATGAAGTGATGGTGCATCTAGAGTCTATGCCAGGCATCCTCAAACTGTGGCCCTCCAGCTGTTTGGTCCTTCTACTCCCAGAATTCTTGACAATTGAACAAGCTTGTTAGAGTTTATGGGAGTTGGAGACTCAAACAGCTGGAGGGCTACAGTTTGAGGATGCCTGGTCTATATCTATCCATCCAGTCCTGACCACTTGATCATTTGATTATTTGCAACCCATTGGGGCTGAAAGATGCACATCAGTGTGAAAGCAACATAATGCGAACAGATGCCACCAATATTTGGATGAGCATCCCAGGATGTACATTGTGCTCGTGTGTTCTGAACTGGAAAAAAAAGATTCATGTGGGGAAGTGTGCTACTACATAGAGAATCCATTTTCTGGATTGGCATGTAGATTGTATCCGCTGCTTGTGCTATTATCAGGAGCTGCATTATTGGAAAGATTAAAGGCCCATTTCAATTAAGTGTGCTTAGCTGTGGCTGAAATTCCTTTCTATGGCAAACAATTCAACAACATACAACAGAACCCAATACATTCTACTTGGAAGTAAGTCCCACTGAGTTTAATGGAACAACCTCATGTAAGTGAGCAAAAGATTGCAGCTGTAAATATTTATGTGGCTGTGCTAAAATGTAAAAACCCAATGTGAATTGATTGTGCCCAAATGGCCAAGATAATGGTATATTTAATATCCCTGTCATGTGGATTCATCTAGTAAGCAAAACAGGAACTATGGGATACATTCTGAATATATTGCATTGGTGGAAGTGGCTGCTAATGTACTAGTTTTTCTTTCTGGTCTTTTGTGCTTCACAAAGTTGTCGCCTGTGCTATAAGACATTAGAGTGTCCATTTTGGGCAGGTAACAGCTACAGATTCAGGTAAATGACAGATGGGAGTAATTACTGAGAATACTCCAGGTCAACTGAGAATATCATAGACTACTCATTATATGATTATAGCTACTTATTTTGCAAAGTTTGGACACTTCTTATCATATATCTGTTAAGCAACAGCTACCTGCATCTAAATAGAGATCTTATGACCCCTCTATATGAAAGAGCAAGGTGTTTTTAAAAGAAATATTGACTTCTGAAGCTCCCCATCTATTATCATTTATGTATTTCGGATCCACAATAGACACAACCATAATTTTTTATTCATTCTTGTAGCTACATAGCAGGAGTGAAAAATACATAGCCCTCCAGTTATTATTGGACTCCATGTCCCATCAGTCTCACCCACAATGGCTAAAAGTAATGGAAGATGGGGGGTGTAGTCAAAAACATCTGGAGGACCGTTTTCCCCATCCCTGCTATATATCCTGAACATGACTGCACAACCTTTCAGAATAAGCTGTCGATTTGGGGATGTTCTTAAGCCACACTCACTGACAGATAATATTCACAATACGAAAAGCTACAGAATGGCCTTGTAAGTGACAGCATTATAGGATATGCTCATCCTAGTATAACAAACATAAACGCAACAGCAGCTACAAGCTCTAACACAGAGAGAGTCCATGGAGTGATTGCTCAAGGCATCTAACATTGAGTCCCACCACTTTCCAATTCTAAAGCCTAGCAAAATGCCACAATATAATACTGTTAACATTTCCACAGAAATAATGAAGGCAGTGCCCCTTAGTGCTCCCCCACCCACCCCCCAAGTGGGCAGCTCAGCAGGGTGTGGTCACCAATCATACACTAAAAAATTATAAATATATCAAATATACAATAAAATATATCTGTACAGCACTGAGAATGAAAATAGTTCACATTATCACTCTTGGAATATGTCATTTAACAGAATTTACAACACCATTTACAGAATAAATATACAATAGAAATAGAATCTATGAGTTATTCTATATATATTTACATATACACACACATAATATAATGTCTCTTTGTCTTCCCATTGCCATTGCTCTATTAGATAAGAGCATGAAGTGCAGTGGGCCCTTGCAAAATGGCAGGTATGGCCCATGAGACTGTGACCAAGATACCATAGAAATGCAACACAGACCTGCTTCCCTCGCAGGTCTCTTTTACCCACTCCAGTGGAGGTGCATTGATTTTTGATTTGGCTCTGGTCATCTTACGGAATTTCTCAAGTAATATGCCAATGTGCATAAGCAAAGAATCTGGACCAGCAGAAATACATATATCTCTGGCGGTCAAGTCCCTAAAAGTTTCCTTGCTTAAGAAGATGACTTGACCTCAGAAGAGGGGGAAGAAAAATATGGGCTGGGGAAAAGAACAATAACATAAGTCCTGAGCTTTTTCTAGGAGTTAATCGATGTGCTTTAGTCATTAAAGTGCTGTACTGGAATGTGGGAGATTCGGATTCCCCACTCTGCTGTGAAACTCTCCAGAGTATCCTTGGATTAGTCCTTCTCTCCTGGTCTGACTTAACCCACATGGTTCCTCTCCTATCAATTTGATCCACACAATAGTCCAATGGGATAAGACTGGATGGTCCTTGTGGTGTCTTCAAACTCTATGATTCTAGGTCAGTTTGAGAGAAAATAACTAAACCAAGGTTACTCAATAACTCTGCCAAGAACTCACTGGCAGAAAAGCGGGATAGTAGTGTGAGAAATAAGTAAGTGTAAGTGATTATCCCATGTATAAGGAATTCATAGTCTGTTTCATGCCTCTCCCATCCTTTACTCTCTCCAGCTGATTAGCACTGAAAACACTGAGATGGGAGGGAGGATGAGTGTATTTGCTTTGTGTACATGTCTGTGTACTCATTCATGCATTCAGATGGGAGGAGAGGGATTAAATGTAAAAATAAAAAACCTTTCATTGGGTTGTTGTGAGTTTTTCAGTCTGTATGACCGACCATGTTCTAGTAGAGGTTCTGAAGATGCCAACCATAGATGCAGGTGAAACACCAGGAAAAAATGCTACTGGAACCTGTCCATACAGCCCAAAAAACTCACAGCAACCCAGTGATTCTGGCCATGCAAGCCTTTGACAACACAAAAACCTTTAAGACAGCAGTTCTTTCAGATGAATGGCTCCTTTCTTTCAAAACTCACAGGTTACCATGATAAAACAGTTGGGAAGGGTCAATGAACCCTCTTCTGTTATCCTCTCAGCCATTTTACAAGAAAATGCCTGTGTATTGGTAATAGTTCCATTCAGATGCTCTGAGTCCAAATTTTGAATCTTTACTTGAATTTCCCAATCCAAATCAAAAAATAAGTATGTCAAGAAGGAGAGGAACCAGCTCTACACAGGTAACCCATTAGATTTTGGAAAGCAAAATCTCAATACACTTCCAATCAGTTCTTGAATTATAAGGAAGGGGTTACGGACCAGTTTTAAAGGGTTCCTAAAGCTGAAGCACCAATACTTCTTGATTATTTGGAACAAAGATATCCTCTGCTTTCCTCTAGCCATTTCCTTATTCCTTCTGAGTTTTCACTACCATAATATAATCAGAGTTGGTCATACTCCAAGGGCAACCTGACTGTCTGCATATTGCCACAACCATCTATATGGAGAAATGTTAGCACCATCCAGAAATACATGTGAAAAAACCAACAGCTCCCAAGATCACACTGGGAATAAGTGCATGGGCTTATGTTTAATGCTTGCTTCACATGGTCTCATTATGTTGCACTTCTAAGCACAACTGCAAGGGGAAAGCAGGTAAGAAGGCTTGAATCTGCAGTCTTTAGTTTGGTTTGGCAAAACATTCTTATCAAGGCAAGTGACTCATAGCTGAAGAGGAGATATGATTGCCATCTTCAAATATTTGAAAGGTTATCATAGAGGAAAATGGGAGCAAATGTGTTTTCTGCTGCTGCCAAATATAGGTTCAAAATTCAAGAAAACGAATTGAGACTAAACATTAAAAAGAGCTTCCTGACCAAATAGGAAGGGTTGGAGACTTTTTAAAAACTATTTTTTAAAATACAAATTACACTTTTTTGGATATTAGCAACTACACAATGATGCCATAACAGCATGGGATCTCTTTGTAAAGTACACTGTTTCATTATGGTAGTTTTTTTGTTTGTTTTCATGTCAGGAGCGACTTGAGAAACTGCAAGTTGCTTCTGGTGTGAGAGAATTGGCCATCTGTAAGGATGTTGATGTTTTACCATCCTTGTGGCATGCTTCTCTCATGTCCCCACATGGAGAGCTGGAGCTGACAGAGGGAGCTCATCCACACTCTATCCGGATTTGAACCTCCGATCTGTCGGTCTTCAGTCCTGCCGGCACAAGGGTTTAACCCATTGCGCCACTGGGGGCTCCTTATTATGGTGGTGGTAAAAGAGTAGCCTTTTCACTGTTTTCCACTTTAAAAAATCAGACTAGGTGCACACACACAAACAGTGCAACAGAGGAATGTTGAAACACCAAATTAAGAAAGGGAAAAATACACCTTTAAACGGTTATAAAATCATGTGGCAATATTGAACGTTTTGAAAAAAGGATCTCTCTATGCGTGCACTCCCACATTATTAAATTGTACAACAGCCAACTAGCTAAAAGAATAACAATATAAAACTTTTAAGAAGAGGTTTTTTAAAGAGTGGCACTGCAGGTCTTGAGTCATTAACTGAATATGACTAAGCAAGAGACCGAACCTGTGTCATTAGTTATTAATAATGTAATTGCTATATCTTATGGGTGACTCTTACACATCTGCATCTACATTCCACCCTTCTATTACAAAAGCAAAGAATGCAGCATCTGAAGGAGGCATGACATTTTCTGAGCCACAAAATGTAACATGTTACTCAGAAAATGTGACAGACCCAACATATGGGTGAGTGCTATCTTGAAGGAAGATGTAGTCATTTTTCAAATGTGCTTTTACTATCCCTCAGACTAATAATGCAAAAAGCCCCTTGCATACATTCAGTGTAGCTCTAGAGCCACATTCCACAAACAGATACTTTCAGTATGTTAGATTGCAATTTCCACTGTCCCCAGTAAACCGAACACACCTGGAGGGCCCCAGGTTGAAGGAAGGCTGCAGCAGAGAGTAGCTGCTCCTGAAGAGTTGTCATTATATGTCTGAACTAGAGAAATGAGACTAGGAGTGATGACACTGATGGCAAATATTCTGCCCTACATGCAAGATTCCTTGATTCTCCCCTACACACATGGCACACAACCGAACTTATACTTTATACTATTGCTTGAGCCATCTTTTGGTAAAGGAAACTGCATGTAATATTAGCAAGCATATCAATGCAAACTTCACTGAAACAACATCCCTTCAGTTCTCTTACAGTTTTTGGTCCCCCATCAGCTTTGGTTTCCCCACCACTGGGCATTGTAATGTGCTGTCAATAGACTATATATCAGGCCCAGACTTGTAAGAAGCATTCACCAAAGCTAGTGTGCAAACTGGATATCATCAAAGCTTAAAACCATAGGTTGTCTGATAAAGCCTTCCTTGTGCTATGAATAGAAGTGCTTAGACGTACTCAGCTGAATGAGATGGGAATGCTTCTTTTAACTAGAGGAAAGGCATGGACACAGACAGAGCTTCTGGGAAGCAAGACATCTTTTCTTTGGCTGTTGCCTTGTTTTGCTTCCTCTTTCAATTCTCTGATTGCTTGAATATGAGTGATTTTTAAAAATGTTTTCAGTACCAATTAGCTAAAATTGTCCTTGTGCCCATAAAATTTATTGCATTGTCTTATTATTATTATTCACTGAGGAGGGCTCTGACATTTTGGCTAGAGATGGCCAGAAGAAAGGCTTTCACCCTTCCCAGCTTTTATACCCTCTCAACACCAAGTGGTCCCTGACTGCTGTAAATTCTGGGAAGGGATTCCTAAAGTTCAGTTTCTTTCTCTAGGGCCCCCTCTCCTTCACTCAGTAAGTAGGGGTGGGTAGCTTGTTGATGGTCACAGTTCAGATTCAGGGGTGGTAGCCGTAAGATACCCACCACTGTAGCGTCCATTGGCTACATTGCTCATCTCCATTGGAGATGTCGTCCCTGGGCCCAGATAAGAACGATGGGTAGGCATTGGGGATGGGGCTTCACTCGGTACTTTACTCAAGATAAAACGGGTCTCATCATTATCTTCTAAGTTGGAGATGTCCTTCATCATACGCCCCTTCTTGTACGTGACAGACAGTGCATTGGAACCATCTGATATTAGATGGAACTGACGGAGAATGAAGACTACGGGAAGAGGAATGATAGCCAGTATGATCAGGGAGACAAGGACGCCCATGGCCCATTTTGGATAATAGAGAAATTTCTCTGCAGCCTGGAAGAGAAAGAGAAATGTCATTTCCATTTGTCTACTTCACCACCAATACAATTTTAGAGATAATTTGATTGGTATTCCCAGTGCTTTCTTTGGTACAGTAGCAAGCATTTCACTGTTACCTGTCCTTCAACTCCAAGAAAAGAAGCAGTGTGTGCTGTAAGGGATAATTGTAGTATCTGCATCTCAGTTTTGCTTAAGACAATTTGATATATTATGAGATAGTCCCTTCTTTTAAAAAAAATAGCAGCAATTCATAAAGTTATTAAAAAATGCTGCTAAAGGAATAAAATGGACTTTGATGGTCAACATCTATGTCCCGAACAATCACATATAAATTCTGGTTTACTCTACATTATACTATGTGGAAAAGGAAGTGAAAACATGGCTTTTTGATCAAGCCTTTGGAAATCTAGTGCAATAGATAAATATAGAATTATGTGCAACTAGCCGTCCCCTGCCACACATTGCTGTGGCCCACATGGGGGTTCTGTGTGGGAGGTTTGGCCCAATTCTATCGTTGGTGGGGTTCAGAATGCTCTTTGACTATATGTGAACTATAAATCCCAGCAACTACAACACCCAAATGTCAAGATTCTATTTTCCCCAAACTCCACCAGTGTTCACATTTGGGCATATTGAGTATTCTTGTCGAGTTTGGTCCAGATCCACCATTGTTTGAGTCCACAGTCTTCTTTGGATGTAGGTGAACTACAACCCCAAAACCAAAGGACACTGCTCACCAAACCCTTCCAGTATTTCCTGTTGGTCATGGGAGAACTGTGTACCAAATTTTGTTCAATTCCATCGTTGGTGGGGTTCAGAATGTTGATTGTATGTGAACTATAAATCCCAGAAACTACAACTCCCAAATGACAAAATCAATTTTTTTTAGTGAAGGACATACATTGGGTTGTTAGGTGTCTTGTGTCCAAATTTGGTGTCAATTCATTCAGTGGTTTTTAGTTCTGTTAATCCCACAAACGAACATTACATTTTTATTTATATAGATTTTAATATTGGAATAGCTCAGACTATGACTTTGAATAACGAGGTTAACAATGAAGGTATTGTTTATATGTTTTTTAAAAAATGATTTAATGTATGTATTTTATAACTCTGTTTTTAAATGCTGTTTTTAGCTGCACATTGTTGGTCTTATCTTCAGTAGGGAGAATAGGAAAATGACTAGTTGTTTTTTCTATAACCTCCACTTGCATAGCTCTGGAAGAATCCACAATACAAGTATTAAAACTGAGATGATTGGTACTATCTTGGATAATTAGCAGAACCAGTAGGAGAAGTTACAAAGTACCTGATACCCTCTAGATCAGTGGTTCTCAACCAGTTTACCAGCTGTTAGGATTTCTGGGAGTTGAAAGCCAAAACATCTGGTGACCCATGGGTTGAGAACCACTGCTGTAGATCAACAAAAATGTGACAGTGGAAGTCACAATGATTACGACTCTTTGGCTTCCATATGGATGCAGGACTAGCAACTGCACAAATGATCACACTGATTGGCAATGAAGATCTGTTGTGTACACTGGCATGGAGTTCGTATTCAGCTAATGATACCACATGGTATATATCAACACTCCTCAAAGTGGTGGTCCCTACATTGTTGTTGGTTTATGAGTCAGCAATTGTTGGTCTGCAGAGAGTTTCCAGGATAGAAATAGTTGTAGCCAGTCTCTGGCACATTATTTTAAAAAGGATTGCTGATCCTCACATGAGATATCCTAACTCAAGAGAAGTTGGACTATTAATCCTATAAACAAGCAAACAGATGGATAAATAAATAAAATGTCAGTGGTAGTATATTATGCGTCACTGACTCACCTCTTCTCTGATCCAGGCATTATAACCTGGTGGAGAGACGACTAGCTGAATTATACTGGCTGTCATTAGGCCTGCCATGCAGATGGGAGAGATGTACTTCCATGTGTAGAAGTAGAAACGATAAGGACGGAAACCTAGCATTTCAGTTAATTCTTGCATGAATCTAGGAAGAGAAAAGGAAGAAAGCAAAGTGATAAAACATACTAAATTGGTTTTATAGTCCCTATGTCTCTTGAATTGAATGGGGAAACTTTGTCAAGGAACACTGTTGGAGTAAAATAAATGTCCAACCAAATATGAAAGTCATGTGCTTCAAGAGCAATTAAATCTATTACATATTTAGTGGTTATAGTAGATAAGCATGTAACCATATGGTCCTCAGAACACATCTAAGACATAATAAAGAGTGGATTTCCAGCTCAAGGGCTTTGCCAATGCCCCAGATCTGGAATGGAAGAACTGATGTTGGATCCCTGTCTCAGCCTTTCCCAAATAGTGTGAAGATTTCCAGGGTCCCTAAGCTTGTCAGGACCACAGTTTCTTTATGCTATCAGAGCAGAAATGAGTATGTGGAAGATGTGCTTAAGAACAGAAAGTGAGAGGACCTGCATCTACTGGCGTCAAAAGCTTCCAAATGCCCTCAGAAAACACACAAATAGTTGGAAGCATGTTTAACTTATTACTTTGTCTCTCTGTTTAGAGAAAATCCCTTTTCTCTCTCTTTCATTCTGGAAAACAACTGACAATTGGTTCCCGTGATACTTTGGCAGGTTAAGCATAGCTTTGAAAGGTCAAGCATAAATAGAGGAGTGCTTCATTTTCCCACCTCTCCTTCAAATTGCTTCTTAAATATTAAAGCACAGGAGTTTCGGAAACCAGAAAATTCAGAGAAGTATAATAATTTTTCTCACTTAGCAAACTTTAAAAAAAAAATCTTACTTCTTGGTACCATAAATCCATGCCACTGCAATGTTCTCCAAGATGACAACAAGAGTGAGGGGCAGTGTTGCAGAGTAATCATCAAACATGTTGACAAAGTAGTTGCCTGACCGTTGCACAAATAACAACCCCACAAAGAAAGCAAAAATGCAACAGCCAACTGTAAAGAGTAGAGGATAAGAACTGTCAGTAAGAACACAGGTACACAAGAGCATAACAATCTTCTGATGGCAGAAGGCAGAGTGATAGCATTGTTGTTACAGAAAGGAAGCAATTTATTAATGGGATATATTGCACAACACAACAGAATCTCCTTACAGACTTCAAGAACAGGAATTAGCCTTTATTTTACACTGGAGAAAGATACTCTAGGATTCATCAGATGAGGTAATTTTGGAGATGGACCCCCATGCTGGCCATCACACATGTTGTGTGACTTCCAGCGGAACTCCACCCCCAAACAGGGTGGAAGTGTCCTTGGACACTTCTCCCCCAGTATGGGAGCTTGACCATGTTATGCTGGCTCCAATGGAGTCATCCTGGGTCCTCACCGGAAGAGCAACACTACCCAAGTGTGATGGGGAAAGCATTACAGTGAGGGAGCAGCACGTTGGAAGACAGATTTGTCTTGCTGCCCCCTCAGTCCGGTAGTGAAGCCAGGCAAAGAGGGATGCTTCACCTGACCTTTGTGATGAGGTCATTTGAACTATGAACCATCAGCTGTTGGCCCCACAGCAACCTTCCTCAAAACTACACAACTATGTGAATAATGTGGCATAAATATGGTATTGGTTCCAAGAAAATTGAGCAAGGCAGAACCCACCAGTCTACCAAATTAGATAGTTTGAGAAGCACTGTCCTATCAGGAAAACAGTCAAGAAGCCACTTTCCTCATTATACTAACCAGTTCCCTATTGAAGCATGAATACAAATTGTAAAGATACGTAGATAATTGCTCTATTATATAGATATGGGGATTATGCAATAATAGCATGCCTGAATTTTCAATCTAAGCCAAATACTCTCTTTTTGTCATATATCAAAGTCCAGATTACAAAACTGCTGCATTATGCTAGTTCAATGAATACCACTATGCTTTGTTCTATGGTCGCATCACCAGTCCTGCAGAAAACAAATCTATATCAAGGCCTTTTCACATTTTTTAAATGAAATTTATTTATGAAATTTATACCCCACCTTTCCCCAGTCAAGGGTCCAAGACAGCTTACAGCTAGTAAAAACATACAATATAAAAAAATTAAAACCAAGTTAAAATCATAAATATTAGAAAATGGTGTGAAACACTAATTAAAACCGCAATAAAATACATTTAAACCACCCTGATAATACGTAACGAAGTCAAAAGGTCTTCCTAACCTTCGGATATCACTATTTTCCTCTGAAGACTTCCTTGAAAAGGAAAATTTTATGCTCTACATAAGGAAAAATATGTGACTTTTCACATAAGAAAGAATATGTCACATACAAGAGTTCACAAATCTTGTGATGTCTGAATGCTTCTTTGTATTAATGCCTTGGTGTTTAACCTTAACTTTTGTTCAAGGTTTTACCAGATGCTAGCTTGCAAAGAAGGCAACAGTGCTTTGCATATTGGGCCGTTTCATCATTTCATCTCCTCAAACAGTAGCCATGGTAGGTGAGGAATTCTGGGACTTGTAGTCTAAAAATCCATTTTTCTAGCATTTATGAGTTTCCCCCGGAGTGACCTTACCTGTTAATGCTTCTTTACGCACTTTGAACATATCAATGATGGGTGTGGTGATGCCAGCCATGGTCCCAATCATGCTCCCCAAACCCAGATTTATCAGCATCAGGAAGAACATCACTGACCAGAAAGGAGAAGCTGGGAAGTGGGTCATTGCTTCCGTGAAAGCTATGAATGCGAGCCCAGTCCCCTGCACAGACTGTACACGGCCAAAAAAAGATGTTCATGTTATGCTTGGTAGAAAATAATATTTTAAGAGAAAATGTACATGTATTCATGCAAACAGATCTCTATCAATGTAACCAGCCTCTTCAAGCCCAAGAACTAAGCCATGATTGGACTTCTCAAAATATAAACATGGATAAGAGCAGGAATAAGTATGCAATGTGCATACTGATTATTGCAGAAACATCTGTTTTACCACACATGCATGTTCTAAATAGTCATGGTTAACTGCGACCTCAAAATGCCATGTGCTATGATGTGACATGTTTCTCAAATGGTACACCAACTTATTGTGCAAAGTATTCACACCACTCAGAACACATTTAAATGGGATCTAAAAGGGCTTTCCACAAGCCATCATTCTGAGTGCAAATTTTCTACATACCTTTGGTTGAATTTTTGGGATTATCTCATCATTACTCCCCCTTGCAAGCTAATGCAATATCTAGAGAACTCTTATAATGTGCATCATGCTAAAGCTGTAAGTTGGCTCCCATTATTCAGAGACGTTTTACAGTGGGTAAAATATTTTGGTTGAAATTCAACTTAATGCTACTATACTGAAGTGCCATTCTAGCACTGGTGTGAAGGATTCCCCCTTTGCACAAGCAGTTGTGCATTTAACAGAGTAGTACTTTGTGCAATTGTTTTGTTTTAACCCATTGTATAACAAACATATTGGATATCATACTTACACTAATTCCAAAAACACACAGCCACAAGTATACTGGGCCTTGTGCAAGCTGAATAAGATACCTGGATATAAAACTTTGGCTGGATCTACAATGCCATATAATGCATTTTGAATCTGCATTATATGTTTTGTATAGACCAGTGGTTCCCAAACTTTTTTTGACCAGGGACCACTTTGACCAAGAACCAGTCTCCAACGTTAGGACCAAAAGGATTATGAATAAGTTTTTGGTCAACTTTAGATTTGGTTTAGTTACTTGGGGTGCTGATTCAGAAAATTGCATTTGATAAACCACATCAGCTCTAGTTTCTGATAAAGAACATATGCTATCCAGTAGTCACCATCTGCTCGCCCACAGAAAACCATATTTAATAAGCCTCAGCAGTATATAAGAGGGTTTCATGAGACCACTTGCTCTCATTGCAATGGTGTAGTAATGGTGAGGCCATGGACCATATTTTAGTTCTTATGGACCACTGATAGTCCACGGGCCACAGATTGGGAACCACTGATGGACCCATATCATGCAGTTAAACTGCACTGAATTACATGGGTCTATATCAGCCATATAATGCAGATTCAAACTGTGTTATATGGTAGTGGATCCAGCCTTTGAGTCTCAAATCATTATGAAAAGCAATTTCAGCTATAAACATACCTTGTCAAGCTCATCTTCCAGTAGACAGGGATCCAGCCCCAGCTTCTGGAAATGATCCTTTTTTACCGTCTTTATCACACCATACATCTCAGTGTAGTCCTTGGATGTGAGATGGGAGAAGTTCACTTGGGGTGGAATGAGTGCATGGCTCAGGACATTGGAGTTCAGATAACCCAGGATCTTCTCAGCATTCCTACAATGGAGAGGCTACAAGTCAATGCATAGCCATTTCCTGGCTCTTGGACATTGATATTCCCCTTGTCCTGGGCATAGGGTGAGGAGCATCTTTGCCTGCAAAACCTGCAAGGTAAACCCTTTATAGCTGGTGTAGGTGACATTAGTCATAATGTTCCACAAAACTTTCTTCAAGAACAATAGGTTAAAGCATATTTCCTTGTCCTCTAAAACACTCTAGATTTCTCATATTGCAGTAATTAAATTGCAGGTATAATCTGTCAGAGCTCTAGAATAAAACAGAAACAACCACATCATTGGCTTTTTAAAATATATTCTGAAATATGTGCAGACGGATATAGATACAAACCCACACCCACCCTCCAGAGAAATATCTTAGAAAGAGACTAAAAGTGGCACTTACTCAACCACACACTTCTCATTCATGACATTAGCTTTGAAGCCCAGCACAGCAAAGACTACCAGTGTGGCCAAGACAGAGGTGAAGAAGTTTATGAAGGAGACAAGAGCTGCATCAAAGTGGCAGTTGTTGTCCTGTTTGTTGTAACTGGAGAAAGCAATAACTCCACCAAAACCCAGACCTAGAGCAAAGAAGACCTGAGTGGCTGCTTCTCGCCAGACTTGGAGATCCAACATTTTATCAAGCTGTGAGAAGAGAAAAGAGGAAAGTTAATTTAGTCATCTGCTAGACAGATGTCACAGCAGGAAGCAGTATGTCACTGCTTGTATGTGCAAATACTATGATAGGTACCTTTTTGCATGAGTTAGAAGAAATTTGATTTCATTCTTCTGCATTTATGATTAAGGGAAAATAAAAAAAAACACTGGGCATAGCTCAGATTCAGTAAAATCAAATTGCCATTTGTTTAAAACAGAGTCTTGCAGCATCTCAATGACTAGGACATTTTCAAATCCAGTAATTTTCCAGTAACCATGGAACCCTTATTCACAGCTTTGCTTAAGGAAAAATAATCTTGAAATTTGCAAGATCCTCCAAGAGATTATATGGTATGCTTCCCCAAAAAATTAATAAAGAGTTGCCTTGAAGGACATAGTAAATTCCTAGGAAGGATGCCTCCCTAGAAATCCCTAAGGTCCTCCAAAGCAATTCTATGGTATGCTGGAACTGAAAGTGAGGTAATTCCAAGACATTTTATCATATCTACATTCTCAGAAATGTATCACTTTGAGACACATGGTTCTTATGGTAAGCTTGTGGGGAGTCCAGTATTTCATTACAACATCTCTTTCTAAACTATTGTATTTGATTTGGCAGAAGAGTACAAAATTGTACTGCACTGCCTTATCATTGCATGGAGCACAAGCTCTAGCACGTCCAACCAAACTGGTAAAGATAGCCCCAGTGGAGGTCTACTTCTCTGCCATCTGAAGACAACTCCAAGAAGTTACTGCAAGTTCCTTCACCAGAGCGTTGAGCAGTAGGTGATGAACTGCCAAAAATGAATAATACGAGAGTGTGTCATAATAACAATATTGAACAAATAAGCAGTGGATCAAGTTAAATATCACAAACTACAAAAAAGCCTGGCACTAAAATGGCTATAGAAGAAATGCAGGCAAAACCACTTTGAAGAGAATATATAATGACCGAGTGGGTCACCACTAAAAAGGTCCTTAACTTAATTTGGTTCCAACACATAGAAGAGGAACTCTCAAGACAAACATTGTTTTTGTGATTGCACTATGTAACACATTTTTTGTTCCTGGGCTATGCATGTCCTTTCTTAATTTGTTCTATCATAAAAACCTTGAAAAGTGTGTGAGGCCCCTTTCCACACAACTGAATAAAATCCCACATTATCTGCTTTGAACTGGAATATATGGCAGTGTGGACTCAGATAACCCAGTTCAAAGCAGATATTGTGAGATTTTCTGCCTTATATGGCCGTGTGGAAGGTACCACAGACTGCAAAAACTTTGTTTTTAGAGGTCATCCTGCAGCACATTTTGCTGGAGTTTTTAAATGAATACCGGATCTCATCATAGTTTGTGGCAGTCACAAAAATGAAGTTTCTGGGGTATAACAACTACTTTCCAAGTAAACACTTAAAAACTAAACAGGAAATAACACTTTCAAACAGGAACAGAAAAATATTCACATTTTATTACATAGTGTTATATGAAGAAACCCAATTCTTTGGATAGCCTGCCCCCAAACAGTTGACTTGGGACTGGAACTGTGTGCATCATAAGGTGTCAAAAAAATCCCCACATCAGATGCCCAACCAACTCTCAAATGTTAAGATGCTTTCTTCTCTATTGAAAAATCTTGAGGAAATGGGTTGCTGTCAAGCTTTCTGGGCTGTATAGCCATGTTCCAGAAGCATATAGCCTGGAAAACTCACAGCAACCTAGTGATTCTGGCCATGAAAGTCTTCTACAATATCTTGAGGAAATACTGAGAGTCATGCCTACAATGACCTCCAGATGGTGCAATTCTCTATTAAATGCTCCTCCCCCCTTCTTCCCATCATCTTTAGGTCTCACATAACATTTCTGGAATTGGTTTGCTTTCAAACCAAGGAATAAGTGTATAAATCATTGACATAATTTTATTGAATTTTCCAATGCCACTTAGCATTTCTGCAGCCCTTTTCATCCAGTTGCAGTTTCCCAGATCATTTTCAAAGGCAGTCCACTCAACAGATTGTATTAATCCAAATGGAAAGTTATCACAGTCATGGTAATTGTAGCATGTTATTCCCATTGACTACAGTAATAGTATCAAGCTATCCCCATTGAGGCAGGGTAAGAATTTATGCATCAGCTGAAATGTACCAGAGACATTTAGAGCTAAAGAGGCTACTTGAGCCTCTAAGATGGCTTGAGCAACTATGGGAGGTTGAGGAGACCCTACAGGGCTGCAACCTGCCACTATAGCCCTCCACCAAAAAACAAGCAAAAAGTAATAGTTGGTTAAATGCAGCCTAGAGGACATTTGGTGTTTTTTTTTCTCCTTTACCCCTGAAGGAAGGCACAGGGAACACTATCCCCACCTTCGCTTTGTTAACATTCCTAGAGTAATACGCAGTCTATAAGATGGATATCCTAAACTGTGTATGAATTGCTGTAGTTGTCCCAGCTGATCCGTGAATGTTAATGATTACTGCGAGAAATGCTTTAAAAATAGATGTGGTATTCAAAGGGAGAAATTATCATGGTTTAAATTTTAATTCTAATAATTAGAGTTAGTGTTACATTGCTTTCTACATAAGAAAATAATGTCTGCAGTCTAAAAATGCATTGCAAAGAAAAACCCAATTAAGTTGTTTGCACGGGCCTCTTTCACACCACAAAATTATAGCAATCTAATACTACTTTAGCTACCATGGAGATTATAGCTATAGTATATACATCAAAATGAAAAGCCCAGACTGATTCTCTCCAAAAGCCTACCAGCATGCTTTACAGAAATGCAAGATTTCCTCCCTGAGCCAGACTGTCTCCTTCCCAGGAATCTGCATCATTTCTGCAGGCTCTGATCTGGGTGGCCAGTCAGCAAAGGTACGAGGGCAGGCTGGAAGAGACCTCATGGGCCATCCAGTCCAACCCCCTGCCAAGAAGCAGGAAAATTGCATTCAAAGCACCCCCGACAGATGGCCATCCAGCCTCTGTTTAAAAGCCTCCAAAGGAGGAGCCTCTACCATACTCCGGGGCAAAGAGTTCCACTGCTAAACAGCTCTCTCAGTCAGAAAGTTCTTCCTAATATTCAGATGGAATCTCCTTTCTTGTAGTTTGAAGCCATTGTTCCGCATCCTAGTCTCCAGGGCAGCAGAAAGCAACAGGCTCCACTTTGGGGTGCCTGGGGAATACATGTTTTGCTCCCCCAGTCAGTCTGCTTCAATTTGGGCTTTTGCTGCCTTTCCACCCACTCTGTGTGTGCTAGGGTTTTATTTATGCTGGTGCTATATATCACACCTTTAGCTCTGCAGCATGGGACAGGATTCAGGGGGTCTTTTTGGAGGGGGGGCACTTTAAGCCCTTCATTCCTAGTTAGAGGATCCCAATAAAATATAGGGGTTCAGGTGGTCAGGGTTCAGTCCCCAATCAAGGGACTGAAGTAACCATATCACCCAATTGTAACAGGATATATCTCAATTGCCAAAGGACTAAATACCTTCCAGCATTTCATAGAATCATAGAATCAAAGAGTTGGAAGAGACCTCATGGGCCATCCAGTCCAACCCTCTGCCAAGAAGCAGGAATGTTGCATTCAAATCACCCCTGACAGATGGCCATCCAACCTCTGTTTAAAAGCTTCCAAAGAAGGAGCCTCCACCACATTTAGAGATGAAAACTAGGATACTAGAAGAGCAACATCAGAATGTGATCAGAATATTTAAAAATGGTGCAAGAAGCTTTCTGGTTGCTCTAAAAAGCTCTGGGAACTTTTAAAGGCCTTTAAGAGAGTGTTGTATTGTTTTAAATTCTACTATTTAACTCCTTTTCATCCTTTTAAAGTGTGCGTTTTAAATAGTTTTGATACTACTAATAATTTAATGGCATTTTAATGTCTAATTTTGTACAGTTTTAACTATATTGCAAACCTTTTGATTTTGTAAACTACCTTGAGTCCTATCTTGAGAAAGACGTAGGGCATAAATAACATGAAGTAGATTACAAGCAGCACCATTATAAGTATTGTGGGCTTACCTTGGGAGTGAACATATGCACAATCCCATCTACTGCTCCCCTCAAGAGCAACCCTCGGACCAGGAAGCAGATCAACACCACATAAGGAAAGAGGGAGCTGAAATACATCACCTAAGAGAAAAGGAGATGCTATGACATAAAGTGGGAGGAGGCTTCATATATGATATATTCAAGGAAGAATACTAAAGCTGTGGTAACACCATGGAAAACATATGCCTACTTGTAGTGACATACTTTTCTGAAAAGCATTTCAGGAATGATTTTTGGTAAGGTATTGAGAAGAGGAACTTGTTCAGAAAACTGTAAGCTCTCTTCCTCCAACAATATTAGAGTTCCAAATTTCCATTAAATATTAAGTAGTTCATATGTAATGTAAATGTTCTGTAATGCGGTTAATTGAGCAGCAGCATTCTAAAAATTGGACCATGTTTTGTGGTTGTCACATTGATGAATGCTGCATCATAACTGGAATATGACTTTGAATCCCCAAAGAGCTATGGAAAGCCGTTGGGTGGCCTTGGGCAAGTCAAACACTTTCAACCTAAGCAGAAGGCAGAAGTTAAACCTCCCGTTGAACAAATCTTGTCAAGAAAACCATATGATGAGTTCTCCTTAGGGCTACCATACATCAAAAATGACTTGAAGGCCCACAACGACAACTCATTCCCTACAGACTTTTACAAGTGTTCCTTTCTGTAACATAAAGCTGCCTAAGGCACAGGGACAGGCAAAATGATTTTGGTGGCAAATCAAAGTGTGCCATCTTCTTTTCCTTCTTATCTGTCTGCAGTTACCTGCCGAATAAGAACTGTTCATGATGTCTACAGATGTTTGAATTCATGGTTACAGGAGCAGAATTGCAGACTCTGAACTGATATTGGTTACTATTCTGGAACAAATCTTAAGACAATTGAGTTGTGGAGTGCCTGATGAAGGATCCAGATTAATCTACCTCCTCCCAGGGTTTAGATACATAGACACACATCACTTTATAAGTCTGTTTTCTTGTGTCAGGGTATGACAAGTTCTGTTATGCTTCTGGTTGCCACAATCAGCCCTTACCTTTCCTGAAGACTGGATTCCTTTGATCATAGCCAAACACACCAAACTCCAAGCCAATAGTAGACATAAGGTCATTCTCCAATTAAGTCCACCACTCTCTGAGATGGAATTTGAAATTTCCAGGGCATCACGGTACCAGAAATAGGTTGTAGCAGAGCTTTTGTCACATTCTGGTTCCACAGCTGAAAATGAGATGTGTTTTGGTTGTTACACAATGCACAGCCCTTTCTTTTGGCATCTCATAAACACAGCAAAGCAAGTCAATATTTAGAGCCAAAGAAGGATGTATAAGCATCACAAGGCACTTTATAAAAGACGGCTATGGTTCATAGAAGGAGAAAGGGAGCAAGCAGACGTTCCAACTAAAAGAGGTTAAATAAATTGGGTAATTTACACACACTATAAAACATTCAACTATCTGTTGGGTGATGTTCAAATTCTATTACACGCTCCATTACCCTCCAAAGCATTTCTGTTTTACTCAATGGAAAGTATTCATTTGCTGCCAACCAATGGTCAAATACAATTCCATATCCTACCAGCTGGAAACAAGGCACCACTTAGACTGGGAGGGCTCTCTTAAGTATTTTTGACATTCTCAGAGACAACATAGTTGTCTAATGGCAGAGTATGAGCAGAGCCTGAAAAAGTTACTTGTTTGGCCTAACGCTTCTGGTATCCCCATGGAGAAAGCAGATGTTAAGAAAATGCTTCTTTTTCCTTGCGCGTCATAATGATGGAAGAGGGGAGTGGATGACAATTATCCATATTTGAGTACTGAAATGAACAGTCCCAAAGTGAAACTCAAAGGTTTGACATATCTCTCCACCCTCTCATACCAAGTTCTGAAGGCAAGTTACTCACTTGCTACTGAGCCGTTTTTTAAGAGAGGGCACTCGCTCCAAGGCAAAGGATACTGGAAAGATTTGAAGAAGTAAAAGATGCTCCACCCTATGATCACATTGTAATAGAGCCCAACAAACAAGCAGACCTGGCAAAGGGAAAACAAAATAGTGTTTGGATCCTGTACGTCAATAATGTCCTTCAAAGAAGCTCAGGGGATATACAGAAAAGAATGACAAATATTGACCATGGAAATACATAACATTCATCTGAATGCCCATAGGAGTACACTGAAATAACAAACGACCACTAGAATGCATAAATATAGTTGTTAAACTGTAGTCAAATTCAATCCTTAGCAAAATATCTGGTTATTCACATTTACAAGACTTGGTAAGTCAAGATTGGACTAATTTATTTCAGTATAATAACATTAATATAGAAATTCTAAGTGGCAATTTCTCAGATAGTCTATGCAAAAATATTAACTGTTTATTCAATATTTTGAAATGTAAGCTGTTTTTAAAAGTGTTTTATTTATTTTTTTAATTCAAGTGTTTTAAAACATGAACAACTCTGATTATTCTTTGAGGTTATTGTTTTTAGATAAATATACCAGAATTAAACCACAATAAAGAAACAATTACATTTCAAAGTATTCAAAATAAGAGAAGCACCATGATAAAGAAACAAACAAAATTAAAATAAACTCCAACAGTTTTAGCTGGAAGTGGAGAGATTATTCTCCCACAACCTTCATATTATTACATTTCTTACCTTTTTGCCCACACTTGTACGACCTATAACCTAACATAAAGTCGTCATTGATCAAACAGAAAGATCTCTATGACAGCCTAAGCCTTTGGAAAAACAAATGGTATCTGATGAATCACATTCTCTAGTGTATCAATAACTAGTGCTGTGGGAACTTTGTGGGATTACAAGCCCTCTAACAATTATTGTTGGCTTTGAGTTCAGTTCTGCAGAAGAGCAATTGCTTTGGCAGCACTGAACTGGAGCCGCAGTGGCACAATGGGTTAAACCCTTGTTCTGGCTGAACTGCTGACCTGAAGATCAGCTGTTTGATGTGGTGAGATGGGGTGAGCTCCCATCTGTCAGCTCCAACTTCCCATGTGGGGACATGAGAGAAGGCTCTCACAGGATGGTAAAACATCTGGGCATCCCCTGGGCAATGTCCCTGCAGATGGCCAATTCTCTTACACCAGAAGCGACTTGTAGTTTCTCAAGACACTTCTGACACACACACACACAAATGAACTGGTAATTAAGACATAGCGGTGAGACTTTGAGGAAGGGCTTCAGAAAATGGAAGTGCACATTTTTGAGGTCATAACATTTTTGGAGGTGTGTGTATGTACATGCCTATGGTCATATGTTTCAGAAGGGAATCTGTCTCTCAGAGTTGAAACAACTGTCAAAAATAAAGACTGAAGTATTGCACAGGAGATTTGGAGTTACCCTGATGGCTCTTGGGACCTAGAGTGATCCTTGCAAAGCCAGCCACAAATTATCTCAATTGCATCCATTCTACCTATAAAAGCAGCTGGACTGAGAAATACTTTTGATTTCAACAATAGCAACAGGAAAGCATTTTTCATAACACCAGAAGGAAGCTGGTTTCTTTAGGAAATGCAAAGCAGACTGACCTCTAAAAAGGGGGAAATGCTTGGAGAAGTGCCATCCTACACCATCTGCCTCCTGGAGTGGTTAGCTCACTGTCTACTGGTAAAGCTGTCCCTACATTCCTATGATTCACATAAAATGCCAAGTGAGAAAACTATGCTCAGTAGGGGTTTGAGGAGGTGTAGGAATGCTGACCTTCTGTTCTAGTATCTGGTGCCTGTGCTATCACTGCTGGTCTCCTGAGCCACTATATTTGGCAGATGGATCAATGAACTACAGCCACATTTACTTTTGGGAGATGGAAGCAGAGAATCAGATTAGGGCACATTACATCTTCTTGAAGGGTATATCTGGTCTGCTCAAGTGTCTATATTGTTTTAGGTTAAATCAAAAGTTAGGCATTAATAGCATTCACTTGATTTTGGTATGCAGTCCTGGGAAAACAAATCTCCCAGCCATATTCTAATTCTCTTCTGTAACAACTAGTTATTCTTAACAACAGGAAGTAGATCTGCCAGACCGGGCCTACACAATCCGTGGCCTTCCAGATATTTTGGATTTATCTGGAACATTGGAACAGCTGGTTAGAACTTCTGAGAGTTGGAGGCCCTCAGGTTGTGAAGGCCTGTGCTAGACAATGGGATCCAAATATCTACAATCCATTCAGACACATTTCATACAACCAGTTATGAAGCACCCACTAGGCAGCTGGCAAATCCAATGCCCCCTAACCGGGGACAGACATAATTCCACACTCCTATGCTGCCACGGCGGATTCTCTGGCCCACGGCTAACTCCAGAAAGAACAGAGGGATTCCAATGAGGATGAGCAGTATCAGGTACGGAACAAGGTAGGCACCTGGAAAGAAAGAGAAAGGTTGTTAGAGCAGTCTGCCTGGAATTACTTTTTTAGAGTGACAATTTGGTATTCTTCTATTCCAGAACTGTCTGTAGTTTCACTCTTCCCAATCCCAAGCAACCCTGCTATAAAATAAACTTTATTGGTGTTAAATGATGCAGAAAACCATAATAACTGAGAATCATTCCAGTTCTTTCACTTAAGGCAGTGGTTCTCAACCTTCCTAATGCAATGACCCCTTAATACACTTCCTCATGTTGTGGTGACCCCGAACCATACATTTATTTTGGTTGTTACTTCATAACTGTCATTTTGCTACTGTTATGAATAGTAATGTAAATACCTGATATGCAGGATGTATTTTCATTCACTGTCACTAATTTGGCACAAATGCCAGATATGTCCAAATTTGAATATTAGTGGAGTTGGGGGTGGGGGGATTAATTTTGTCTTTTGGGTGTTGTAGTTCCTAGGATTTATAGTTAACCTACAATCAAAGAAGATTCTGAACTCCACCAACAACAGAATTGAACCATACTTGGCACACAGAACTCCCATGACCATCAGAAAATACTGGAAGGGTTTGGTGGGCATTGATCTTGAGTTTTGGAGTTGTAGTTTGCCTACATCCAGAGAACACTGTGGACTCAAAGAATGATGGATCTGGACCAAACATGGCACAAATATTGAATATACCCAAATGTGAACACTGGTAGAGTTTGGGGAAAATAGACCTTGACTTTTGGGAATTTTAATTGCTGCAATTTATAGTTCACCTGCAATCAAAGAGCACTCCGAACCCCACCAATGATAGAATTAGGCCAAACTTCCCACACAGAACCCCCATGACCAACAGAAAATACCGTGTTTTATTATGGTCTTTGGCAACCCCTCTGACACCCCGTTGTTGCAGCCCAGGGGTCCCTACCCCAGGTTGGGAAATGCTGACTTGAGAGCTCCAGCTTCTTGTTACAATCAATGATAAAACTGGGACCCTAGACAATTAAATATTACTCAGGATTTTCCTGGCTGGTGCTTCAACTCTCAATCACTGGTTGTGTCAGGGCCCCCTGAAGAGAAGGTACATTCACTCCAGAATGGGGCCAATGGAAGATGGATTCCCAAGGACTACATAGTGTAGAAGCAAATATGTGTTTGTTTGTGTGTGCATATAACACGAACCATTTCTCCTCTCACAACTAAAAAAAAATCCCATGTAATTAGGTTAGCAACATAGGAAAATTCGCATCCATTCTCAGCCTTCCTATCTTTTTCCAGCTTCAAACTGACACGCTAATGCAAAAAAAATAAATCACATAAGGTCGTGCACACAAGTTGACTCTTTCTCTATAGTTATTTATATTTGGCCATGATGCTAACAAAGGCTTCAAAATCCATCTGCCTACTTCTGAAGCCCAAGTAGCTACAGCTACATTTTACTATCTTCCTCCAAAAGGGATCAAGGTAATATACATGCTATTCTCACTTTCCTAATTTTTTTTTATCATTGCAACAACCCTGTGAGATATGTTATCCTGGCAGCTAATGACCAGCTCGAGCTCATAAAGTAAGCTTCTTGATTGAATGGAGATTTGGTCAGATTCTGTTACAGCTCTCCGACCATTACACCACACTGGCAGTGACTGAATCTGTGAGATATCATAATCTCCTCTTCCTACTTGAACATTTTTATATTTTACCTCCAATGGCCCAATTTCTTGCTTAGGTGGAAAAGGACCAGGAGTTGCAGACTGCGCTATTTACCTGCTGACACAGGTCCTATTGTTACTGCTTCATTCTAAAGAGCCATCCATTCCCATTTGGGGCAGTTGGTGGGTTTCTGCATCAATGGTGTAATGTAGCTACTTTCGTTTTTTATTCTAGCCTTTAATACAATGGTTCTCAACCTGGGATCCCCAGATGTTTTTGGCCTTCAACTCCCCGAAATCCTAACAGCTGGTAAACTGGCTGGGATTTCTGGCAGTTGTAGGCCAAAAACATCTGGGGACCCCAGGTTGAGAACCACTGCTTTAATAGAACTGTCCAAGTTGCTGTATCCTTCATCCAAAAGAGATTCAGCACTATGGATAGGTCCTTTGAGAGTCTAGAATACTGTTCAGTTTGTATTCACAAACCCACTGACAAGCATCTCACCAAATTTGAGGCAAGCTCTGAAAAAACTGTGGCCCCTATGTGTGGGATATGCTGTTATTGATAAGAGTTCATGTGCTTTTTGTCTTTGCTCTGGGCATTGGAAGATGGCTTCTCCTTTTCCTGCCTCAAGATTTTGGCTGCTGTTATTTAAAAAAGCTGTTCCCTGTGACATGAAGGCTGCCAATATTAGTCCAGAAAAGAGCAAACCAAAGTATACAGTGGCTAAACTAGGAGAGATTCCAAACAAGACTCACAGTATGAGGGGATAATGGCAGCAGGAGGAGCTGGGACATACTCCTAAAAGGGGAAAGCCATATTTGTGGGACTTGTTTTTATATATTACGATTGGGGAGAGTAACAGGAGCAACCGGAAATATGCCTATATTCCCATGAAAGGCTTACTATAAAGCAGGATATAATGTTAATAGAGATACTTGAGATGTTCTCAAATATATACTTCAAGTGTATACACACAAGAAACAGACATACTTCTCAAGTGATGCAGAACATTTGCAAGAAACTGTGTTGCATAATGGTAATTCTGAGAGTTATTACAAGAAATATGCGCAGAAAGAACTTTCGATCTGGGGGGTGGGGAGGAGAGAGTACACAGTAGTAGTAGCACATGCTCAGTTTCCTTGAGGTACTCATTCTTTGGAGAAAACTACAATACCTATTTAAGAGAACAGTGTCCTCAACACAATGAAACCAACAAAAATCCAGTAGAATTTTCTTTCTCATGTCAGGAGCAACTTGAGAAACTGGAAGTTGCTTCTGATGTGAGAGAATTGGCTGTCTGCAAGGATGTTGCCCAGGGGAACGCCTGGATGTTTTACCATCCTGTGGGAGGCTCCTCTCATGCCCCCACATGAAAAGCTGGAGCTGATAGACAGGAGCTCACCCCACTCCCCGGATTCAAACCAACCTTTTGCTCAGCAGCCCTATCAGCACAAGGATTTAACCTACTGCACTCCTGAGGGAAGATGCATAAACCCTAATCACTGCATACTTTACTCTGAAGGGGAAAAAAGCCCTAAGCCAATCCATTGGAAGGAATAAGCATTAGCACTATATTAGTGATGAGAACCTTAACAACCTACATTAGACTCATTCATTGCAAGATGACTGCTTACAACTGCTGAATTTTTTCACTCTTTACTACTAACAACATTTAAAAAACTGAATTTTATATATGAAACTCTGGGAAAACTTGGTCTCTAGCAAGATGAAATACATTTTAAGGCTTACATATGATTTATTTATTCCAAGAAATCTATATTCCACTTGTTAATTTTTAAACACATTCCCAGAATAGCCAATAAGAGAAAAGTAAAAGGGAATTTAAACTCATTTCCAAGTTAGACAAAAATATCTATTAATAAAAATAAAAATGTTTTAAGATAGAGGAGAATCAATAAAGCAAAATGTATCACAGAAGAAAGAATGCAGTTCCTTCAGGTCATTTTTAATTTTCTGCCAAAAAAACCCCAAGCAGAAACCTTAATCTCAAAACATTTATTTCTTATTTAACATCATATATTTAATGATAAATGACAAAATAGCATTTGAGTTCCACAAAGTGCTATAAGGTGCCTGGCAACACCTTACCTCCTACACTACCACAAAATATATAAAGCAATATGTGATGTTAATCATATTTTTAAACAAATGTGATTATTACAATCACTCTTATTTAAGAGGAAAGGCAACTGTGTGGTCTGTTATGGAGAAGACAGTTGTAAGGTCTGATCTAAAACACACTCATGATCTGAATCACGGTCTGTGCAGCTGAAAATTTCTCCTGTCTACTTCCCCTGACCCTGAAAGACTGGTAACTGTAAGCAGCATGTCTGTGACAAGTTGCAGTCAGGTAAGCAGTCGTTTTCAGCTGAAAAACTATGCAAAACCCCAATCAGACTAGGAGCACATTCCAGATGAAGGCCTAACATCCGCTGTTCTTCCAGAAGAAATGAGGCCAGATTAAGTTAATCCATTTAAATGCATCCCCAACATGACATGCAGTTTTGGCCCTCTGTCAAAGGGAGTTATTTGCCTAATTTCTGCCATGTCACTAGACCATGCCTACAATCGCCAGAGACTATATTTCCACTCTCTAATCGAAATGAACCAGGTCACCAAAGGAGACCAAGTCTGTTTCTACATAACTGTCATTCCCAGTTTAGAACAATCATTCCAAATCTTTAGTTGTCCAAATCTTTGGAGCTTCAACCCCCAGAAGCCCCGGTCCATTTGGCCAATTGTCTAGAATTGTTGGAGCTGAAGTTCAAAATACCTGGGGAACAAATACTGGGAACAACCAGTTTCAAAGATTCTATTGATTTAATAATCTTTTCTGCCTGTGTAATAATTGGACAACAAAGCTTTCTTTGTCTTTTCTGTTGCCTTTTGATGCTTGGACCTGTCATGTAAAACATAAGCTCAGATAGTTGTATACCCCAGTTCCAATGACTGTCAACACAGTTGGCAGCAGGATTGCCAGATTACAAACTAGAGATGATATTTATGCCTTTAAGGTTGTCCAGCAGAAGGAATTCAAACAAGTATTGCTTGTTACCCAATTGCATAACAAGGCACATTTGCTAAAATTTCCCTTCTGTATAACTATTAAAGATACCAGAATCATCTCCAGTTTTAGTCTGGAAACTCTAATTAGCAAATAGCTGCTAGCCACAAAATTGGTGTACACCAGCTGTAATCTGTACATTATACACATTGGCCCCACAATCAATTACAGCAGATTAGTATATATTAATTTACTTCAGCTCTATGGATGTTCAGCTGGGCGACTGAAATATTCTGTTGAGTACACAGTGTTCCAGAGAATTGGCCCAGTCTCTTCCTCTTTGTAAGGGAAATCTGTTCACTCTACTAAACATATGTGCATTTTATTGGTATAATGGAGATGGGGGAGAATTGTAAAGTACAGCTACTCTCAGTGAAAATTTGCTATCTTCACATGTAGCAGTACCGTTTTACTACATACAAAAAAAACTTACACCCCAGTCAGGTAGTTCACCAGAATTTCATTTATATTGATTGGTTTTCATTAAATATGTTTTAGAGAGTGATAAGGGAAAACAATATAACCTTGGTGGCCAGGAATTTTGGATATGACATTTGTTTACTGGTTGACTCATAAATGTATGGCAAAGGAAATGATACTTGTTCAGGCTTTGGTGATGTGGTTATGTGTCCGTAAACTGTTTATTGTTTTGTGTTCTATTTACACTGTAGCTGTTAATGTATGTAAATAAAAATGTATATTCACAAAAAATGATTGATCACTGTGGGCTCTTCCAGACAGGTCCAAAATGCGGGACCTGTCTCAATTTTACCAGAGGCATCCAAATTACACCTCCGGTAAAAGCGAATTAATGTGGAGTAAACCAGGTTTTACTAGTTTAAAATTAATTAAACACCTCAATAAATATAGACCTTCCTGAAAGCCCCCCCCCCCCCCGCTGCATCATTTTCTTGCATCAGGAGGACTGTAGGGAGAAGCCTGTGCTGCCAGCAAGCCTGTCCAGTAAGTTTTTATCTCAGTAGTTTGGGAGAAGATTAAGTATCAGAGATGCATTCGTTACAATGAAGCTTATACCATGGGAGAAACTACATACTCTTAACCAGATTTCTTTCCATAGTTCATTATCAATTACAACATTACTTCTTTCCTATCCTGATGATGATTGAGCATTTAATTATCAAGATTTTGATCAATGGCATCACCCTTGTCCTTAAGAAAGACAAATCAGGAGCAACACTACCATTCTGTTTAATCAGATCCTCAGATAGTATATCTAGAAGATCTAACTACCTTTTACACTTTTCAGGATTCCAAAAGAGAGTTTGCAGCTACATGTGTTATTTTTCCCCTGATCAGTGCAGACATATTTGCTATTTACACAGTAAACACACACACATTCAGCTTGCACCAGTTGGTTTCAGTTTCAAGAACTATCAAGGTATAGCTATGAAGTTAGGTAGTGAGTGAGTGCTGATTTATGTAATTGTGAAGGAAAAGATGAAGGGAACTGCCAAAATTCCCCTTCCATGTTGTATTTATGAATGGTAGGCAGGCTCCTGTTGAATAAGTTCTATTTAAGTCAATCTGGCCTTTAGCACAGAGCTGGCTAAAAGGTCCTAATGCTACCAGCTCTTTCTAAAGGGCTACGGATAATGTTCTTTATGGTCAGCAATTTGTAAGTGTTAAGTAAATTTGACCAGAGGACTAAATATCCTAAAGGCACAAGATCCTATTTAACCTTGGAAGCTAAGTAGGGTCAGTATCACCAAGAATATATATCCAGAGAAAAGAACTTGTAAAATCTTCCCTAGATATTCCTTGCGTAAGAAAACCCTATGAAAATCATGGAGTTACCAGAAGTCACCAGGCAACGTGAAGACAGATAGACACACAAAGAAGGTTGACCAGACTATGGAAGGGAAGCAGGGTTGAACTACAAATCTCAGAGTTCCTCAGCCAGTTTTTCCTGAAAAAAATGCCTGCAATTTTCATTCTAATTTGACATTTTTCTCCCATCAGTGCATCATCATGGTTGGCAAGATGTCACACATTGATCTGTTTTGCAACCATTAAAGGAATGGAAACTGTGGCACAAAAATAGCTCACAGTCCAAATGCTGAGTCACCTGATCTCCAAATGGGTTAGATGAGCAGGTCCAATTCTGCTCATTATGGTCAGAAACCATGCTACAAAAATAGCATCTATACCAAAGAGAGACAAGTCACTTGAAAATGGTCCAGGAAACACTGGCACTAGCGCTGCCAGTGGACTTTCATGCTACTGGGTTAGAGAAAACAGCCACGGGAACATATGCTCAGACATGAAAGAGAAATCTTGGAATCCAAGATCTCAGCCACAGGGTGTATTCACTAAACAACCTGCTGTAATGGAGAAAAAGAAGCAAATCAGTGATACTATCATACCCTTTAAAAATCTATTGGAATTACCTTGTTTGGAAAGCATGCTAAAATAAGAGAATAAAATTTCCAAATCTAAAACCCAGTTTCTGTGTGTATTTTTCTGGTAATGCTTAGCCAATAAGTATTAGTGATCACTTTCAACTCCTAATTCTTACTCCTAGTCCCTGTATTTTAGGCCCCTTTCACACTGCAATATAATCCAGATTATCAAAGCAGATTATCCACATTATCTGCTCTGAATTGGATTAAGTGAGTCTACACTTTCATATAATCTAGTTCAAATCAGATAACCTGGATTTTATATGGCAGTGTAGAAGGGGCGTCAGAGACTTCATTTTAAAGCACATGTTTTTCCTACTCCAGAGGTTCAACAATAATCATAATCCTTAATCAGAAAGATGGACTGGAATCATACCACAGAAAGGAACTAATCAAAAGATGATAGACAACACATTGAAATAACTCAATAGCCCTCAGTATAGTAAAACTGAACTAGGTAAATTTAAACCACCAGAAGGTTTGAGTCAGTAAACTACATAAAATAATTACCTAGCTACAGAAGGATACCAGTAATAGAAGGCATATTTTTATAATTTGATTTGCTTTAGCTATGGATCTGTATGCATGATCAAATAAAATACTTGGCTAAAAACTACTATAAATAAGAAATCCTTCCAGGCTAATCCAGGAATACTTTACCATCACAAGTAGGTATCTTTATCAAGTAACTAGCAATCAACCAAGTAAGCAATATTTGCATACAATAGTAGGAAGGGAGGCATTTATTGTCTGAGGGCCCTTCCACACAGCCCTATATCCCAGAATATCAAGGCAGAAAATCCCACAATATTTGCTTTGAACTGGGTTATCTGAGTCCACACTGCCATATATTTCAGTTCAAAGCAGATAATGTGGGATTTTATTCAGCAGTGTGGAAGAGGACTGAGTGTAAAGGGATCACAAATTAATCTATTAAATTTATTATTTGATATAGAAATTCAAGAAGAGTTTGGTTCAGAGCAGCAACTAAACACTTTCTGCTCAATCAGCCCTCATGATCATACAAATGAATGACAAGAAAAACCCAACAATGGATTTGAATCTTTGCTGAGAAACAAGTTATTTGGCCATTCAGGTTAGGGAAGGGCTATAACTCTCTGGCATATAACATGGCATTTTCAGACACAGTTGAGAAATACCCTGTCTGAAAAATTGGGTAGCCACTGCCAATCAGTAGTTTAACTTGGTATATATGTATGGTCTGGTTCCAAGCTTAGAAAATGTACATTTTTGGACAACAACACCTAGAATCCTTCTGTTGGCATGGCTGTGCTGCTTAGAAGATGCTTGGAACTGGCATCCAAAGAAGTAAATTTTCAAATCTCTGTTCTGATTGATAGGGGCAATTTACAGCTTTCAAACCTGTGTTCCCTTCTTCTATATTATGTCCATAAACAAATGCCTTTTAGTTTGCTCATCATGTATTCCTCTCCATCCACTTACCTCCACCATTCTTTTGACACAAATATGGAAACCGCCATACATTCCCCAATCCCACTGAGTAGCCAATCTGAGCCAAAATGTACTGAAGCTTGTTGTTCCATGCTGGCCTATCCTCAACAGGCTCCTCCACATCTGGCTGCTGTTTGCTCCAGTTTTCTCCAGCCACATTTAGGACACTGTGCCTATAGTCCACAGGTTCCTCAAGGGCCAGTAGATCAGCCACTGATTCTGTGACAGGTTCATTGCTTTGTTCCCGCTGGGTCACTTTGCTGCTCTTAGGCATTGGGACTGTCTAGCTCAACCTCTCCAATGCTATGAAGAAAGTGGTGAAAGCAAGATGGAGGTAGTATATTTCAAAGACAGGTTTTGGATTTCGAGAATGGACTTCAGAAGTTGCTCATCTGTGAGAACTGTGAAACAAGAAAACCAAAAGAAGGAAATTGTAAAAACACATGAGATTTCTCTACTTTCTTCTCTGCTATTTCGTGTATTTCACTAGTCTACAACAAACACACATAATGCAGAAATGATTATTAGTTAAACATTTCAAGTCCTTGAAGACCTCAGCATTCACTGGCCAAGCTGACAGAAGCATTCTATCCAGTGCCCTTAATACTCTGCTTTTCTTATTGTTTTGGATCTATGGAAGCCTAAGGACTGGCAGACACTTACTATAATAACTTGTTTCACATTTATTGCATGCCAAAAATGTGTCAGAAGCTATTTAGCTTAAAATATGGTGGCATTAAAATAGGCATATGCTTTGGCAGTTTTTCTAAGGGAGCAGCAAATATCAAGCTTATCTCTTAGTTCCTGACATTATACAAGGAACTGGGATGGCCAGGAATCTTCTGTTAAATTGTCCATGACAGTTTTACAACAGATAGTTTCTGTAGAACATTTGGCATGGTTTGTGAGGCCATCGATTACTATGCTTCTTCATTCAAAAACTCCAGTCTCTCAACAGAAGCCCTTAGCTCATACAACCTGTCACTACCTCACTAACATCAGTGAAACACCTCCAGTTTACACTGACTGAACCCGATTCTTCATTTTGTAAGCTTTCTGTCATACAGTTTCATGATTACAGTGAACTACATACCATTAGGAGCATCAGGTTCTTGAATATATAAGATTTGCCCCATAATGCATAGAAACTCCATGCTCACCAAGATAGGAACAGGCCAGAAGACATAGCAGTGATAAAGGGTTATGGCACTGATGGTGACTGTGATGCCCTTCAGACATTGTTTCAATGCAATTCCCATTAACTCTGTCCAGAATATTCAATGGTGAGAGATTATGGGAGTCATAGTCCAACAACACTTGGAAAGTCACAATTTCCTGTCCCTGAACTATACAAAGCATAATGTGTCACTATGTCCTACATATAACTTGGCACATATTCAGGATCACTTTACACTCTTGAACCACAGAACAGACCAGATTCACATTTGCTTTAATGCTTCTGAATACAGAATCCGGAGAAACCATTGACAGTAACTTAACTGCCATAGAGGATGGTGTGAACTTGTTTATGCATCATAAGCTTATTTTAAAAGGAAGTGAGGGGGACTGAGTTCACTGAAATTAGCTGTACTTTACACCTGTGCCTTCAACTGTGCCATCTTATCAACGGTAGAAGCAAAACTACCCAATGTACAATTAATGTTATTTTGATAACATCAGATGTTAAATGATTGATTCCTTATTCTACTTATACTTATACAGTTATTATTGGGTATTATACAATACCCAATAATAACTGTATAACTTGGGTATTATATAAGTATTATTCTACTTATACAGTTATTATTGGGCATAAGTAGAAGGATCATATTGAGAAAGGCTAAAATAACTTGCCTACCATCATCCCTCCAGATGTTTTGGACTACAATTTGGACCATCGGTCCTAGCTAAAATGGCTAATGGATGGAGGACTTTGATTGTGCTTTTCCTGAATGGCAGGGGGTTGGACTAGATGGCCCATGTGGTCTCTTCCAACTCTATGATTCTATGGTTCTATAACTAGGAATATTGTAATTCACAGTATCTGGAAGGCCAAAGAAAGCTATCCATGCACACTTTTATGTCTCAGGGCACTCTTAAAACAAAAAGTACTGGCACATGATCATCAAGATTAATTTTACAGAAGTAGAAACTTGATGTAAACAAGAAAATACTCCCCCAGCACATGTCAAACTAGCGTGGTCCTGAGATTTGAACTTATACAGTACTAATTCATACAAGACCTTGATGTCTTATCTAGGGCAGCAATAACTAAATATGATGTGAGGTTAATAAACACCTGCTTTAAGTTGCAAGATGACCTTTACAATACAATTCTGTGCAAGTTTACACAGGAGTAACTTGCATGGGTAAGCAAGCAGAGGATCACAGTCTCATTCACAGAAACAGTACAATTTGCAGGGAATAGATTCCCAAAATTCGTAACTGGTTACACTATGTAACACGATTTTTGTTCATGGTTTATACATGTCCTTTCCTAATTGGTTGTGTTATAGAAACATGGAAAAAATAAACTGCAAAACGTTTAAACTTTTTTTTGCAGGACATTCTGCAGCACATTTTGCTATAGTTTTTCAATGAATATCTCACAGAGTCTCAAAAAATTCAACATAGTTTATAGCAGCCACAAAAATGAAGTTTCTGGATTATAACAACTACTTTCGAAATAAATACTGTACAATTAAACAGGAAATAACATTTTCAAATTAGGAATAGATTTTTCCCCCAATTTTGCTACATAGTTATACTAAAATTATACATAAACTATAACATTCCATTGCTATAGAAGCCATAGAACAGGAAATGCTTGTTGGTTTAGCAATCGAGGTGGAAGGACAAGGGATTGTTTTGTTAAAGTATTATTTTATTTCTTCTTGCTTAACATCTATTATGCTCAGCCACCTTGATTTGGAGAAGATGCTTTGAAATTTTAAAAACATGCTAAAGAAAGGACTATTAGAAGTGTTGTAGTAGAGCCTGTGAGTAATGTTACAAACAATAGTGTGGGTGCCAGAAGGGGGAAAAGGGTTACTCAGAAGCAGGAGTCTGATGATGAGCAGCAGAGAAAGAGGATCCGGGACATACTTACAGCGCCTACAGATGAGGAGTCATTTGAGGGATTCTCTGGGGATGATGGGTCAATGTGTATGGGTGCCAGAAGGGGAAAAAGGGTTACTCGGGAGCAGGAATCTGATGATGAGCAGCAGAGAAAGAAGATACAGAACATATTTACAGCGCCAACAGATGAGGAGTCATTTGAAGGATTCTCTGGGGATGATGGGTCAATGAGTGAAGGAGAAGAAGGAGACACCATGGATTAGACTAAGAGAAGTGCAAGCTATTTGTGAGGAGACAACAACTAGTGATACCTTTATGGGGTTCTCTGGGGGTGAAGACTGGCAATCGGGGATCCAACTGAGTCTTGGGGGGATCTAAGTCTTGACAGGAGATGGAGGACTTGGAGGGGAAGACAACATGGCTCACGTGAAGAGCTGGAAGCAGCTGCGGGGGATAATGATGGGGTGGTGGTCAGTTCATCTTCTGATGATGAGTTGTAAATAAAAGTGGGTTCAAGGGTGAGGGGTCCTTGCAGAAGGCAAGGTGTTGGTGTGTTTTTGTGTTTTAGGTGCTGTGTAATTTGCTGCTGCCGGTTTCGTGTCTGTGTTGGTTTGGGATTTGCAGTTTGAATCTCCTAATCGTTTGCATGCTATTGACCCGGATTGGCTTCTCGTGAGTGTGGACTTCTCCCTTCCTGGACCTGGACCGGCTTGGCTAAAGACGCTGCTTCTGCGGACTCTGGAGCTGTGCTGTTTTGGATTCCTCCTGCTTCGACCCTGGACTTCAGCTGACGACGCTTCTTTTCCTGCAGCTCCTCCTTTTGTTAACCAGTTGTGTACTGTAATCTTTGTTTTACCTCAGAACACTTTGTTTGATTCATTTCTTTTATCCAACTAATCTGGATTATATTCCTGTTAACGTTTTTGAACCAGGACTGGTTGTTTCTTGAGTTTTGACCAGTGGCACTGCATCTAAGTGCCTCTGCGTCCTTTTTCCTTTGTTTTAATAAACTCTGTATTGAAGTCACTTTTGAGTCTGGCCCTTTAAGGTGTCTGTGATTCCAACAAGAAGAGTCTTGTTTAAAAAGACCAAAGAGTCATCTGTTTCTCTCTCCCACTAGTTAGTTTACTAGCAGGACCATGATGTAGTTCAGAAACTCTCACGAGTTTTAGCTCATTTAGCCCCACAGAAAGTGAAATTATGCACACAGGATCCGGTTACAAAGGCAAGAGAGGGCAACACCAGTTTAAAAATGTACAACATTTCTTCCCCTTTGACTGCTGTCCCATAGGATTGTTTTCAAATGTATGAAATCACTTAATCTCAACATGTGTTTGAGTTCCCTCATTCGGCATTGAAAACAACAGTATCACATGGTCTTTTAGCAAAGCTTATGATAACCATTTTGCTAAGCCTGGTCAAATATACATCTAAAGACAAATACTATAATCCAGTTTCCATAACACCAATGACACCAGTGCTAGAAAATCAGTTTAATAGTATTCTGTGTAAATATATACAGTTTAATCAGACCGTTGACAGACCATTCTGAAGCATCACCATGCATTATTATCAACAAAAGTACTGACCCTATGACCATTTCTTGGTCCAGAAAATGCTCTTGATAGACCAAAATGGGAGTCTATACTTAAGTATGCTGAACATTTTTATTACCCTTTATTGAGAGATGCGAAACTGGGCTTCAGAACTGACTGCATACACAATGGCGGCCTCTCTGCTTTAAACTACATCAACCCATCTCTTGATTTACCTCAGTACTATCTAAAAGCTGCATGGAGCAAGTTCAAAATCCAGACAGGGCAGAGTAAGCAAATCAAAATATCTAGATAAGAACACAGCTGAAGAAACATTATCAAAAAGCTATGAGCCTCTTGCTATGGCGGAATTGTCAGGAGGCCTGTGTACAAATAAGATCAAATGGCATTGGCCTTAGTAGTTATCTATCCCATGCAGATACAATTGAACCAGGATGGTACAATTCTTGGAATTTACTACTGGTATAATAGTTTTGTCCTATTTAGGAAAAATAAGCAGACTGAAATTTGTTGTGGATTTAGAAATAAAGTGAATGTATAATTAATGCTAAATCACATTATTAACCCTATTGTTAACTCCCAATAGATTCCAACATGATAAGATCAAAAATGCCCAAGAATTTACACAATAGAAGTGTATTTTCCCAGGGCCCTTCCACACAGCCATATAACTCAGAATATCAAGGCAGAAAATCCCACAATTTTTGCTTTGAACTGGGTTATTTGAGTCCACACTGCCATATATTCCAGTTCAAAGCATAAAA